ACCCGCCTGCCTCTGGGCGTTCCCTCTGCGTAACGGCCTTGCTCCCTGGCTGTGTCCCGGCCGTGCCAGCGGCTGTGGGACGGCTCGGCTGAGTGAGGGCAAGCTTGCCCCGAAGCTTGAAAAATTGTCACCGAGAGTCTTTACCGCGAAGGTCGCTGTCCGCTGTGGGGACCGAACGACCCTCGGTTACCGGTGAGGGTGACCCGTTAAAAGCACTCTCCGGTTTGATATCCGTGGAACGTGTTTACGTGTCCCGTGCAAGTTACGTTAACGGCGGCACCGCTTTAACCGTCTCTTTAAACCGACCTGCAACGTGACTAAAGCAAAACCCAGAGAAAGGGATAGGCGGCTACTCTGTGTTTTGCTGAAGGACAAGAAAACCACTCGCTTTGGTCTGTGGAAACCTGGTAGCTCATCTGCAAGCTTGCTCTGAAATAGAGGAAAGCCGGTAGATGAATTAATAGTTGAAATTGTTGAAATTGGCTTATGAATTTCTTAGGGAAATGCTACTTAGTTTTCTCTAAAACTGTGCTGAGTTAAGTCACCTTTTGGGGCCAGTTACTGTGCTTTCCAAAGTTGTGCTGTTGCTGTGGCAGTCCAGAGGACGGACTGACAAGGGATGGGCAGGTCCGGCACAGGTGCAAGGTGTTGGCCCCGATTAAAGGTGCGCGCTATTTGAAAGGTTATATTAGAAATAAAAGGTCTTTCACTCTTTTTTTTTTTTTTTTTATCAGTTGCAGAACATATTTGGCTGCTTGATCTGAAAGTCTTGGAAGTGAAGAAGGGGGACATAAGGGACATTGTTATGTCTGCTGCAAAGGAAGAGGATGTCTGTAGTCACGTGAAAGTGGTGGTCCGTGTCCGTCCAGAGTCTCAAAAGGAAAAAGATGGCAACTTTAACAAGGTTGTTCATGTTGTTGACCAGCATATGTTGGTCTTCGATCCAAAGGAGGAAGAAGTTAGCTTCTTTCACGGGAAGAAACTGATTAATAGGGATATTAGTAAAAAAGAAAAGAAAGACCTTAAATTTGTGTTTGATGCTGTCTTTGCTGAAAGTTCATCTCAGTTGGAAGTTTTTGAGCATACTACGAGAAGTGTGATCGATGGCTTCTTAAATGGATATAACTGCACAGGTAAGTTTGCTATTTATCTTCTTCAATTCAAAAACTTCACTAAATTCCTCGAAGTTTCTACCGTTGTATCTGATTGCTTCAGAGGCCTTAAAAAAGGCTGAGATATAAACAAAGCATTTTGTTTTTATGTATAGATATAAGAGGCTGACTTTTTAGCTTATGGAGGTTAGGACAGATCTACGCTATTTTGAAAATGGGTTCATGTTAGGGTTATAGTAGACTTAAGAATTTTGTCTGAAATATGCACGCTTATGAGGGGGCTCCTCTGGAAAGAGTTATTCCACCAGAAGCAGTTGTGTCACTGAGCGTGTGGTAGCGTGGTTTATGAGCGCTCTTTAAAAGCTTGGGTTTTTAATTGGCAAATGAAATGTAGTGAGGGAATTAAATACCTGCCTGCAATAAGTTGATGGCTTAAGGTTATGAAAGTAAGCAAATATTTTCATGGAAGTTGCCAGTGAATGAATCTTGAACTTAAAAAATAAATGTGATTTTGAAATAACTTTCTGATTATAGCTGTTAAAGGTAAAGCCTAGGTAAGAAACATGAGCAGTTTATGAAAACAGCTGTGCAGAATGAGAGAGGTGTGTGACTGTCCATTTGAGTTTTGCATGACTGATATAAAGCAGGTCTTTTTACTTTGTTGTTTTTTTTTTAATCAAAATTCAGTGCTTGCATATGGTGCAACGGGAGCTGGAAAGACTCATACAATGTTAGGTTCCCCTGAAGATCCTGGAGTGATGTATTTAACTATGATGGCACTTTATAATTGCATGGATCAAATAAAAGAAGATAAAATATGCAATGTTGCTGTTTCTTATTTGGAGGTAAGCTAATTCCTGCATTTTAATAAGGCGTATTCTGATAAATGAAGACAAGCTGGTTTTGCCTTCCACCAGTCCTTTCTGGGCCTTTGCAAAATGTGTCCCTAGTAGGAATGGAACTGAATTGTGCTTCATAAGTTTGGTGTTATTCATAGGCACCTGTTAGTCTTTCATAGAAGGCTGCCCAAAAAGGACAACCTCTTCTAATACATTCACTAAACATTCTAATGATTTCTGTCTTGCTGATCAGCTGCATCCCTCAAGATCTGTTGATGTGTGTGTGAAAATATCTTTTCAGGATTGTATTTCAGAACTTCACAATATATATAAGCACTGCGAACTCACACAACATTATATCTAATACCTTTTCAATGATGTCTTGTAAAGTTTTCAGTTTATTTTTTTCATCTGAGATATAGTACAACTACTTGAATTAGAGCTGCTATGCCAATGGTTAGCTCTTTACAAGTATTTGTTTTGTTCTTTGTCACCTTCTCTTCTCTCCTCTCTTCAATGTTTTTGCATCACAGTTCTGTTTTTACAAGTAGCTGTCTTGGCACTGCTGTCAAGCAGTGGTAGTAAAATTGTTATCTTCTAGCCCCCTCAAAGTCTTAATGGAAGAACAGTTAGTATTTGGGGGGCAGAAGGAGGGAAAAATTTGCTTTACTATGTGCTATTTCAAGTGCTTCCACAAACTGAGAAATAAGGTATTTAAGAATTTTAAAAGTATGTTTGGATTAAGAAATCTCATCGAAGTATGCATTAGGAAGTGTAATAGAGGACAATAAATGGTTTGGATTCATGCTTACTGCAAAAGTTTTTTTTGCAAAAAAAAAGTAAACTTTTTTTTCATAAATAATAAAGATTATTTACTAGGGAAGAGTGACTCCCACATCAATGGCTAAAAAAATTCATGCAGGTTGCACTGATTGAATGTTTCAAGCTCAGTATGGGGAAGCTATTTGGTAAAAATTCTACAGAATAAATCTGTTACTTTGTCTTAAAGAAGTATTAAAAAAGATTGATATGATTTCTGGTTAGCGAAGTTTAATCCTGTTAGGTAGGGTAGTTTTATCAAAAAAATTTCAATTCCCTTTCAAAGGTCTACAACGAACAGATCCGTGATCTGCTGGTGAGCTCAGGACCTCTAGCTGTTCGTGAAGATACCCAGAAAGGGGTGGTAGTTCAAGGGCTAACGTTACATCAGGTATGTAAATAAATACTGAAATTCAGGAAGCCTCACAATACGTTTGTGAAAATGGTGACGTTCCCATTGGTTGGTGACAGTTGTATGCCACTGGGTAATTTCCTGGTGGGCTTTTTTTCTGGCCATAATGACCAGCACCTTAGTAACTTGCAAACCTACTTAGTTGCTCAAAAACAATTCAATCCATATTATTGAAAGGGGACCATTGGTTTGATGCTCATCTTCAGACTTTCAAAGATTTGGGTTTTGGCTAAGACATCTTAGCATTTGTTAAAGAAATTCACTGCCTTCAGTGCCGTCTTGGAGCGTTCTACACCTCTGCAACGTTTGGGGGTTGGTTTTGTTTTAAATAGCAATATTTGGAAAGTTTACACTTTTGTTACTTTTCCAGGCCAGCATAGCAATTCTTTGGCAAAGTTCGTGACAGAACTTAGTTTTCCAATTTGAAATTCAGCTCTTGTGGACCTGTTTTCTTGCAGCCTTTTAGCGTATGTTACATGCTATGTAGCTTCCAGCTTTTGTGCACGTGGAATAGTGATTCAACAGGAAACAGTGGTATTAGTTTGGCTCACTTGGTGAACACCATCCTTCCCAAAGCTTGGGTCTTGTGGGGGAAAAAAATTGGAGTGTTGCTGTTTAATGCATTAGAACAATAAAAATTAAGTCAATCAGTGTTAAAAAAGACTTCTTCTAACTATGGAGAGCCTTTGTAGATTTGCTGAAATTCTTTACTAAAAAATTTCCCTTACTTAAATTTCTGCAGTTAAATGCCTGCTTTTCATACCTTACTGCTTTTTAACTGAGAATGTTTGTTTGAAGTGCCTCAATTCCAAAACAGGCAATTTCTCTTACTTCTAGCTAACTAGAAGTTCCTTTATTTTTTTTGAAGGTGTATGTTAATGTATTTTAGAATCTCCTATAATTGAGGAAAAAGAAAAAATCTTTACGCTTATCTTGTGCTCTACCCTTAAGCCTAAATCAGCAGAGGAAATCCTTCAAATGTTGGATTATGGAAATAAAAATAGAACACAGCATCCCACAGATGTAAATGCCTCCTCGTCACGGTCCCATGCTGTCTTTCAGGTAAGATGATATAGCAGATGTACAGTGGTCATTACTGTGAATTGTAGTTTTTGTTTATTTTTAAAGATGAATACAATAGAAACTTTTTTTAAACTGTGTTGAACCTTAGTTTGGGTGAAAGGAGGTTAAAGTTTTCCAATTAACTCCTCTTGTTGACTTCTCACTACTTGTAAGTATGTAAAGTTTCATAGTGATTATACTTGACAAATCAAATTCAATTATGCCCTCTAGTTCCAATAGTATGAACTAATATTCCTTAGAAAAAATATCTTTTCTGTAAAACTGTAATTTTGACCTCTGAATATACTTCCATATTGTAATCTTATCAACTGAGAGTTGCTGAGTTTAATGCTTTCTGGTTTCATTATGTTGCTCAGGATTTTTGTAGGAAAAATATTTTACAGAATGCGATTATACATCATACTATAAACTGAGAATCTCAGGTAGTACTTTATCATCCTGCTTATTTTGGTTAAGGTTGATTTTTACAATAAAGTGATTACTTAATATTTTGCTATATACCAAGTTTTAGAACAACTGAAGCAGTACGTAGTCTCTGAAAATATCTCCATGCACATGCTTGCATCATCAAAATGAAACGCTGATTTTAAGTTTCCGTAGATTAGAGCTTTGCATGTGCTGTACAGATCTGCTAGAGCTTGACTTCTCCAAAGTTTACTGCTGTTTGCTAAGTACCACCTTATCCTTCCGACTCCTTAAATACAACCTGTGATATTGTTAAAAAATATTATTAAAGATTCGTCTTGTTAACTAAGACTTCTTTTTTCTGTTTGCTAGAGCAAAGCACATTATCTTGAATTATTTATATGTTGCCATTCTCGGTTGCAAAATATTAAAATCAAGTTGGATTCTGGTGCTTGCATTACAGCTAAACTGTTTAACTGTTAGGCAGTTCTTAACTGTGTCTTCAGACTTAGGCAATGCTTAATAACTAACCAAAAGTTTGTATTCTGACATAGAAGATGGCAACACAATGCTCCAGAGCTCTGCTGTCAATACTAATGAGAAAAGAGGTTAATAATAGACTGTAAATGTGTTAAATACTTCTAAAACATGTAATGAAGCAAAAATAATTCCCACTCTAAAAGCGTCCATGTTTTCTTGTATACCTTAGACTTCTATTTGAAATTGCCCTTCCTGTTTTTAATTTCCTCCGAGGTCCTGCCCATGGTGGTACATTTAAGGCACAGACTTCCTATGAAGTTGTTCAGTCTGAGAGTTGCGTTGTCATGTGTTGTGCTGCCTTTAATAAGGCTCAAAGTACAGTGCCACAGACTGAGATCAGAGCGCGAACTGGGGATTTCTGTTTCTTTGCTTGCTGGACAAACAATTCTGTGAACAGGGGTGCTGGAGAGTTTGTCTTCTCCAGCCTACATTCTGTATTTACTCAGGCAAATTGATCTTATGGCAGATATATCTGCTTGTTAGCAACAGTTGCATATTCGCCAAATAAACTCTGCTGACAAAATTAGCATACCTGTATCTTACCACAATTTTGTTTGAATGTATGACCAAAAAAATGGATTGGTATACTTAATCAGATTTACACTTTTTTAAAATCCATCATTTCAAACTATTTCCAGCTTAGACAGCAAAAGTGAACCCACTATGAATGCTTGCAGGTGAGATGATTGTTTACTTTCCAACGATATAAGTAAAAACATAACAAAAACAAAGATCCGCCTGTATCTAAATGTTGTGGGAACAGCAAATACACAATATTTTTCTGTGTGTGCATGTATATATGAGATGTGTATATATATATTTAGGATGCAGCATGTTTGCAATACATTGAATGAAAACTGTCATGTTCAGTGGTTTTGTAAATGGTTTTGACCGATGAACAAGCTTCACTTTTTCTATGAGTATTGTATACAGGCTGTAAACTGGCGAGACAGTACAAATAACAGTCCTTTGAATGTTTACCAAATACTGTTACAGTAAACATCTGGCTTTAAAAAGCAAAAACTTTATACTTTTGCAGCTGATTTATGTTAAGCCCTGAATGATTTTTCTGAGATCATTATTGTTGATAACAGAATTCTTAAGACTGCGCAAACTAGTATGAACGTTTTTGTCCTTGAGTTTGAGATAACTGACCAAGTCACTTCTGCACTAATATCGCTGTGTTCTTTCTTGGTTTTCCTGTGTCCCTGTAGCAGTAGTAGCCAGCGAAGTAGCCCTGGTTGTATAAAATGCACTGGCTGTGTCTTAGCTGGTCTCCATATGCAGCTGCAGTCAGCTAAGTGGCGTGCTTGATTGAACTTGGTATTTGTGGACAAATGTCTGGGTGTCTTTCATGAAGGAAAAGACCTCTCAATGCGGAAATTAGGCATTGCGAGGTCATGGTTCGAAGCCTGCTCTGCTATGTACTCAACATTCAGTCCCAGTGCACAGTTCATTCACAAAAACTGTCAGACTGATTCTGTTCCAGGATACTACAATTAGCAAAAACTTTCTCTGGCGTTCTTTACAACAGTTAATTGGATTAGGAACACTGCAATGAGACAATCCTGAATGTTTATTGTGTTTGTCTTTTGAGATGGTCTAGCTGTCAATAAAGATATTTAATTGTTTTCACTTAAGTATTATTTCTGTTAAGTGCACAAACTATTGGTAAAAGTCATGACTTGTTTTGTTAGACGATTGTATCTTGAATGTGTACTTTACGCAAATATATCTACTAAAATCGCGTGTTCTCAAAGATAAACTAGCGCAGCCTTTGAGTAACGGCGCATTTAAGAGCAAATGGGTTTTAAACCTTTTTCACAGAAGTGACTTAATGCTTGAGAGGAGGGGAGGATTGTCATTTACAAAAATTTTTCTGTAAGTAACTGCTTAATAGAAATGCTGCTGCTGTGTGTAGCACTTGAAAGGAATATTGCTGTTGCTAACTAGATTGGTCCAATGAATGCAACTGGAAGTTTGATTTTAATTAATGTGTAGTGATTTAAGCTAAGAAAAATCACAACCCTACACTTTAAAAAAGTGGATTCTTAGATACTCTGCTCACTGCACTTATTAGAGATGTTTGCATCTGTAAGAAATAATTACAAACTAGTCAATTAGTACTATAAGTAATGGCTTGTGTCAGTTTCTTGTCTATTTACACACATCTGTGACATTCTGCAAAACATGTCTTACCTGCTTGTCCTTTCTTGCCTCTTTGGTTCCACAGATATAAATGATGAGAAATCCCTATTTGCTGTCTTGATTCCTCTTCGGTTTTAAGCTTTCTGTTATTTTAAGTGTTGCTTTCGTTTGTAGAGATCAGTTATTTTTTTATGCTGGCTTTGGTTTTTGCTAATTTTGTTGGAGCAAGATGTTTTCTGGAACTGACTCAGAAAGTAGTAAAAGTCTTGGCCCAGGATATTGAGCTGATTTTAGAGATGCAAGTTTTGCTTTGCTGTACCATCTGTCTTGGGTTTGAAATCTCTATCTAGGTCAGGCAATTACTGCATCTGAAAGTGAAATCCCAATTGCCACACTCTTCTGTTGAAAGTGTTCTGCTGACTGACAAAGAAATAGAAAAGATTCTGCTTTGGGGCATTTCCTGTATCTTTTGAATTTTTATAAAAGCTTGAGTCATACAACACAGTTTGTCTGTCACTCCACCTTTCCATACTTCGCTGATGTTAGTTCCTGGGTTCTGGTAGAGTGCTACCAGCCTGAGATAGCTACTTTACCAAGATAAGTACAGGGAAGTGGCTTTTTTCTTCGTGGGTTTTTTTTTTATATTGTGGTAGAAATAGTACAACAGAACTTAATTGTATTTTTTGATGTAGAAGCATGTCTATTTAGTATGGACATACCTTTTGTGGCAAGTCATAAGAATTGTATTCACTCATAATACTTGTCAAATTTTTTTCTGTTACGAATTGCTGTGAAGACTTTGTCATGCTCAAAGCTTAAAGCTGCACAACTGCCGAGATACTGTCTTTATTAGTCAATCAGCTCATACGTATGGCAACTCTTTTCCCAAGTCAAAGTGCATTCATGAAAGTGTCGTAACCATTAACCTTACAAATGGCAAGGCAACTCAATGCAACAGGGGAAATTTATAGAGAAACCTGAAAAAGTAAAAGCCATCTAAAGACAACTGTAATTCTTCTTATTGACTGTATAATCATGCTCTGTCTACTTCCTCATAAACCTGAGGAAAGAGTACCTTCACTGGCAGGAAGAAGCAAAACTGTGTAGTTCCTTGTATATCTCCTACATATCTTCAGGAAACAAGGGATGAGGGGAAACAAGTGGCCTCAGGGGCCACAGCTTTCCAAAAGACCCTGGAATAGCATGTGTTTTCACAGCAGTGAATGAGTATTGTTCCCCTATTAATGGTAGTTACAGTTAAGTCTAAGTCCCTGAAGGTCCAGCCTTTTTCCTGGTTTATCCCTATATCTCTTAAAGGTGCTTTTAAAAAAAAATGAACACCTTTATCAGTTTGAAGTGCAATAGTGTGGTATACACCTTGAGTGCAGAAGAATCAAGAGCTATGGTAGCTGTGAAATTCATTTGAAGCCCACGAACCTTTGCCACTGTGGTAAACCCCAGCCCAGCTCCTCTCCTAGGGGAGAGAATCAAAACAGGGAAAAGCAAGAGGGAGAGGGAAATACCTTGTGGCTCACATAACAGAAGTGAAGGGGGTTGAGGGGAAGCAATCACTTGCCACTGGCAGGCTGATGCCCAGCCAGTCCTCAAGCAATAGCTGCTTTGGATAAACTGGCAGTCAGTTGGGGTCAGCTGTCCCCTTGCAAGCTCTTGCCCACCACCTTGACACCGTACGGCTGCTGTTCAGCAAAAGCTAAACACTGGTGTGTTGTCAGCACGGTGTGGGTCACAAATCTGAAAGCTCCATATGGGCTGCTGTGTGTAAAATTAACCTCATCCCAGCCAAATCCAGTGCAACCACACTCTGCTTCTTTTTCCCTACTAATAGCTGAAGCAGGTGAGTTTGAGGTGTTGGAAATGGATTCACTGCTTTCCATTAGGCTGAACTGCCCATTGGTATTAGATCTGTACTGAAAGGTTGAACTTTGATTCCGAGAAGGATTCCCATAAGAATTTCTGAAAACAACACTGTAAAATTAACTTGCTGCTTAGAGTAACAAGAAACTGATTAGTGGTTACTTTTTAATTATTTTCTTTTTTTTTGTTGTAGATATATCTAAGGCAGCAAGATAAAACAGCAAGTATTAATCAAAATGTTCGCATCGCCAAAATGTCTCTCGTTGACCTGGCAGGATCTGAACGTGCCAGCGTGACAAAAACCAAGGGGGCTCGTTTTAGAGAAGGAACAAATATTAACCGCTCCCTGCTAGCTCTTGGAAATGTCATTAATGCCTTGGCAGATCCAAAGGTATGTGCTGCTTTCCCATGCAGTCTTCACCTCCTACTGTTCTGAAAACTGTTTTAAAAATCGTAATCTCTCATTGAGTAATGGGGAATACATTGTTGACGCTTCTCACATCATCGTTTTCCTTTAAGGTTTTCTTACAGGTTCCAATATAATCTTTGTGAAAGCTGAAAGAGTCCCAATGGAAAAGAGTTCTCAAAACCAGTGTGCAGCTACCTAAGCGTAGTGTCAAAACCTTCTTCAAAATCAAGCAAATCACAGAATGTTTAGGGGTTGGAAGGGACCTCAAAAGATCATCTGGTCCAACCCCCCTGCCAGAGCAGGACCACCCAGAGCAGGTCACACAGGAACGTGTCCAGGCAGGTTTTGAATGTCTCCAGAGAAGGAGACTCCACAACCTCCCTGGGCAGCCTGTTCCATATGTAGAGAAGCTTGCATGAGTAAACGATTAAATAAATAGCCTTACAAGGACAAAGATTTTTCCAGGGGTTTATGCCCTTTGATCTTAGGGGGGGAGGCTTTTATAGGAGAAAATAACACCTATCCAAAGTGGTTCTTTTGTGCTCTCACATGCATCCACACCCTGCTCACAGTAGTGAATTAGTCTCCTGACCTGGCTCACCAGCTCAAGGGAAGGAATGGGGACAGTAGTGTGGGAGAATGAAAAACCTTCTGAACTTTGGCCAAAGTAAAGTCCACTGCCTGCAACTTCAGCCCTCTTGTCCTTCTGGTCAGATAGCAATTTCCCCCTTCAAATATGTCAGGGGAAAACCATCAGAGCTTTTATTTTCCTTCCTGGTGCTGCACATTCTCATCACCATCTTGTTGGAGTGGGAGGCAGAATTTAAAATCTGTACTATGGACATAAGTAAGATTCTTCACATTGATTTATTTGGTGTGGGATTGGGGTCCTAGTGACCTAACTTTGTACCGTGAGATGAAGATTCTGTAGATGTGATTGAAAAAAAAGCTTAACAAAGCAGACTTTAGGCTGCCTGGAAAGGTTGTGGAATCTCCATCCTCAGAGATATTCAAAACCCAGGTGGGCATTGTCCTTGGCAGCTTACTCTGGCTGACCCTGCTTTGAGCAGAGGAGTTGGACTAATTGGATTTTGAGAGGTCCTTCCCAACCTTGATTGTTCTGTGAAGTGAAAGCAGTTTAATGTAGTCTACCTTTTCTGTTAGTTGTGCACGTCACAAAAATAGTTGTTATGTATCCAGACATCAGAAAGTAATCTGGCTAATGCATGTGTTATAAAGGTATTAAATAGTCCAGGAGATATAAAACTGTTTGAGATGTGTATGTAATTTTAAGGAAAATTTCTTATGTCAAAGAAAAGCTCTAAGGCTGCTTGTCGTGTTTTGAGGCATTGTTCAAATTCTAAGTGGACTTTTAGGCAGGTGAATATTTAAAGTGAAATTGGCTAATCCATAAAAATGCATATAACTCTTTCTCTAGAGCAAGAAACAGCACATTCCTTATCGAAACAGCAAGCTGACTCGTTTATTGAAAGATTCTCTTGGAGGAAATTGCCGAACAATAATGATAGCTGCTGTTAGTCCATCTTCTATGTTCTATGACGATACATATAATACTCTTAAGTATGCAAACCGAGCAAAGGATATCAAATCTTCTGTGAGTATGTTGGTATTTATTGATCTTTTGTCAAAGTCTAATAATATAGTATTAAGAGAGGGAGAGTTATTTCTTTTAAGGGTTATAACTTCTTTCATTTTTGGCTCAAAATTGTATTCATTTACCTGTTCTTTCTTACAGTCAACTCTTCATCACTGATCGGTATATGTAGTAGATAGAGTAGACACTAGTTCTGTCCTAAAAGCAACATAGCTGCATTAATGGGATTATGCTGCCAGTTTGAAAGGGTTTGGTTTGTGAGCATCAAATTTAGAAATAATCCCCAGCTTGTAGAATTCACAGCCAGTTTCAGTACCTTACTATTACTTTCCCAGAAAATTCTAAAAGCGTATCAAAGAAATGTTTGAGCAGTTGTACAAGATCCAGTCCATGTTTGTTACAGGTAGAATTCAGCTGGAGCCAAGAAGCTCAATGAGACTATACTGATAAATTGGCTATTGGGGTGTCCTGTCTTCTGCTCTCTTTTTTTGTTCATAATACTTTGTATTGCAGCTCCTGATTTCTTTTATGTAATATGGACTGGACTAGTTTCCTTTTGTTGCATAGTTAAAGATAGCTTTTCTAATAAAATGCACAAGATACACATTAAGTAGTAAAACTAGTCTGAATAAATGCAAAATGTGCTTGCAATGTAAATGCAAATTTTTTTTTTATGGTTCTGATGGGGGAAATGACATGGCTATGGGTGTGCAACAGACGACTACGTATTTTTGTTGCACAAGTCAGGATTTTATTCATCCCTTTCCTCATAACATAGTGCAAGTGTAATTATGTAGTACTTACACACAGTGTATTTATTACACGGGAAAACATGAGAACGCCTTCTTAAATCCTAACTTGTTTCTTTTCTCTAACAGTTGAAGAGCAATGTTGTTAGTTTGGACAGTCACATAAGCCAGTATGTTAAAATTTGCGATGAACAAAAGAAAGAGGTATGTAAAAAAATCTATTGTTAAAAGTTTGAAAGATCAATTGTTTTAACTTTGAATACAAAAAAACCCACATTTATGGGATTAAACCTGTAAGGCAATACTCTCTTAATTACTCCATATACTCTTTTGAAGTAAGAACGATGTTTTGTCTTCTAAGAGGAGTATCATCTGCTACCATTTGTAAAGCTTCTCAAGACATAAGCACAGAATGATAGGTTTGGAAAAAAAAAAACCCACAAACCTATATTCTAACTAAAAGGTACCTTTTTTGTTTTAGATCCTAATGTTAAAAGAGAAACTGAGAGAATACGAAGAAAAGCAAGCAAGCATTCCTGAAAATTGTAATGCTGCAGTACTTTCAAGCAACCAGAAAGTGGAAATACAAAGGTAAATTAATCGCATAACGATCTTGCTTCAAAACTGCATTTGCATAACTTCCAGAAGCTATTGTAAAACAAACTTACTCTTTTCAATATTGGTTCCTCATTTTTAACATTGCTTAATTAGACTAGGTGTGGCTTTGCATAATTTATCACTTCTTTTCAGAACGACTTGGTGGTGGATTTAAAACACGTATTGTGTACTTCAGGAAGTATCCTGATATTAACCTTCTAGGCAAAATATTCAGTAAAACACTGCAAGATAGCCATGTACTCTGATCCTCGAAAAGCTGACATAACTCAGACATCGCAATTTAGATCAGTGGTGAAGGTCCTGCATCTATAGTAAGTTTCTTATGAAGGTTTTTAAAAAGCTTATATGCTGGGCTTTTTAAAGCTTATCAATACATTCATTATTGTAATGAAGGTAGTTCATGGGCAAGTCGGGTATTTTTGTCTTGAGGCTACTGGTGTTATTCTGTATTAATGTGCAGATGAAATTCTACCATTAATAACACAAAACGTTTTAGGACAAGTGTTCTCTAGGAAGCTCAAGGGCTTTATAGGGTTAAGAAGTTCTTTTCTACTACCAAGCTAAAGATTTCAGGGAAAAAAATAAGAATCATTTTAATACTGGTTGTTTAAAGTACCACTTTGTAATGTAGGTTTTCAGAAAAACTAAAATCAAATGTATATTTTATAAATTTCTTATCCTATTTTGAGCCTATATTTAGCAAAATTGCTATGAATTCATTTTAGATCACCTTAACTTTTCAGATCTGATTTCTATTGTTATTCTTGTGTTGTTAGAAGAATCCTCACGTGAAAGGACTATCTTTCAAAACCTGAGTGCGTGTGTATTTACATACGTATGTGCACACACATATGCAGCGGCAGATCAGAATGAGACCATGATTGTGAAAGGTTTGGTAGCAGAAATATTTGGTGAAAGTCTGTATTTCTGGCAGGTAGAGAGCTGGGTTAGGGTCATTCACTGGGGAGTTATCAGGGAGAACACTGAAAAGTTGGTGAAAGTCCAGTGACAAAAAATAACTGCCAGCCAGCCAATCAGCTGCAAGTTCATCAAATAAAAAGACAGTAAAAAAAAAAAAGGGGGGGCAAACAAAACTAAATAGCCGAGCAACTGATCTGTTTGCGAGCTGAACAATAACCTAATGGTAGAAATACAGTGATAAATACAATAAAATAGGGTAGTGTTATATTTTGAGTGTTATATAATAAAGAAATAAAATAACTTTAAGTAAGTGGAAAAGAGTGGAACATAATAGCAACAAAAGCTTCCTGATAGACATGTCTGTGGAACCACCCTACTTGGAGGATGATAGAAGCCCATCTCACAGGACTTTTAAAACTCGGCAGAGTCCTTTAACAGGAAAAAAAAAAAAACAACTCCTTTTCTGGTAGGAAGCTTATCTTCGTAACAGAAAAAATGTGAAAATATCTTGCAAGTAAGAGAAAGTTCCTGTAGTTTTGAAGTTTTAAAGTTACCAATAGTCTGGTGAAGATCTGGACTTTTAAAATCAAAACTGTGTGTTTTGGGGAAAGGGACAGGGTTTTCTTTAGTAACCCTGTGAACAAGTTACCAAATAGAACTTGACTGTCTCTCACATTATACAAACATTCCAAAACTGTACTCTGTTCTAATGGTGACGTTTCTCCTCACAGACCAGTTTAATTGTTTTAGTAATCAGGGAGTGGGGCAGGGGGGATGACACAGGAAATAACACGTGTTTGCAGCAGGAGGGAGCACATGAATGCTAGCTTTCAGCAAAGCTACTTAACAGGTCATTTTTGTAGGCAGACAGAACGTGGTTTGCATAAGTGACAACTACTGCTGGCAGGTACTACTTCAGTAGTATCTTTCCCTCAAGGTTTGAGAGGCAAGAACTTGCAGCTCTTCTTTCCACAAAGAGTTTAGTTTATGTTCGTAGATTTCTTACTTGCTCTTGCTTTTGTATTTCTTGGTCTCTTTTTCTTGGTGATATTCATGTCTGTCTTTTTGGATGTGACACTCTTTTGGGAGAGCACACAAAAAGTAACAAATTTAGATGTTTGGTGTTGGTTTTGTTCATCCCTTCATTGCAGGAATCAATCTATTCCATAAGAAGGTTAGGTTTTGGTGTGAAAGTCTTTCTGGATCTGTCTCTCCATGTCTCATCACGTATTTCTGATAATTATTCACCTAGGTTATTCAGTGAACTTTCTTATTCGTCCTTTGAATGTGGTATTTCTTAACCTGCAAAACCTTCTGAGGCAAAAGTACAAACCCATTCAAAGCAAAAAGCTCTCTAACTGAGCTTCGTTTTACTGGCATTCCAATTGCTTCAATAAACCTCTCGTTCAGATTATTTAAATTTAATTTTCAAAAGTAGTGTAGGTTTCTAAGTCATATTGATAGTTCTCACAGTTTTCCTGCATATTTTTGCACTATAAGTCTTTAAGGTTATTTTAATTTCCTATGATTTGTCTCTTGTTTCATTCACTATGTGTGCAGGAAGAATCAGTCAAGGACAAGTTCTCTAAAATGTCTTCTCAAAACGCTTTACATATTCTATGCCAAGATTTGTTGGTCAGAGAATGTTTGGGGATTAATGTTCTGGAATATCTATAGAGACACATGTAAGCCTATCCCTTTCCCTCTAGATATCAGCATTAAAGTGGATGTTTCATTCTCTTCTTCCTCGTGACGATCCTGTCAGGTTCATGCTACTGATGATGTGGGTTGATTTCCCGCACATTCATTTACAGATTTTGCAGGTTTTCTGCTGTCTTCTTCCTTCTGTTTGGGACAAGGTAGAGAGCCTTATCTGCAGTCTTGTGTTTCAGTTCACCTGCCTAAGATTTTTGCTTCACTCGTATCAGGAGGAGACTCATTACACCACTCGCTTCTTGAAACCCAAAGGTCATTTCTGCTCCCTCTGTTGTCTAAAGCTTGGAGATGCATTGTCTGCCACCCCTTCAAGTCTTGAGCCTGTTGAGGTAGACAGTGGACACTGGTTTTGAAACTACCACTGACAGGTCCACGAGCTCTTTGAGACTAGGTAGTCCAGGGAGTATGCCTGCAGGATCAATTTGTCATTTTTAAGTGGAGAGGGTAAAGATAACTCGACAAGAATAGAAGTGTGCTTTCTGAAAGGGTGAATCCAGATCAAGTTGGGAGCTTTGCAAGGGCATCTATACTTGATGCTATATTTGGGACAGTGGTGTACACAAAGGGTTGATTTTACAGGTTATAGTTCCTCTCAGTGGCCATACATAGAATCAGAATCTTCAGCCTCTCAAGTCATGCCCAGGGTTTTACTGTAAGGGAGAGAGAAACATTCACCTTCATTTCTTACTGCCATTTCCCAGGCAGCTGGGAGGAACCATGTTTCTATGGATACTATGGAGGAAAAAAATTCCTCAACAGTTGTGTGATAGATGAGAGTAGTGCAGATTGTACAGATAGTAATGGTGTAGTGTGATAACTCTATTCTGCAGCTATTGTATTCTTTTTTCCAACTTCTGTATGTGTTTTGGTACGCATTTTTACCTAGATACAATGGCATTCTCTGGACCCTTTTAGGTGAAGCTGTTGAATTTCTAAAACTGTAGAGAATTCTTTTGTTAATTCTGTTTGTTTTTAAAATGAGAGTAATAAAACGCTAGAATAAAAGACTCGAGTTTTTCAGACTTCAGACTATGAAATGGAAATGCTACTTCTGAAACACCCTGTCAAGAAGTTGAATACGTGGCAAGAAGGTCTCTTCACCTTGCACTCTAGTTGAACCTATGTGTTACTTCATAGTATTGTTACAGTATTTAATTTTATGATCTTTTGTACTAAACACTGTATGTTTAGTATATGACCTCAAATGTTTCATGTCTTTAGAATATTTCCATGTTAAACTGTGCCTTTAGTCTTAGTGAAGTTCTGCCAACTCAGTAGGATGTTATGGAATGTCTTGTATACAGGGTTTGTCGTTATCAAGATACACAGTAACTTTTGGGCTATTCTGTACTGAATTTCCAGTGTTCAGGAGTAAAGTGAAAAAGTGCCACCATTGAAACTTATATTACAACATGGTAATGCTTACAGGCTTTTTCCTTTCCTTGCTCTGATTTGGATTGCAGACTAGGGATAAGCAGATTTTTGAGGCCATTTAAACATTGGTCTCCTTGGAAATAACAAGTACCCTATACCACTAGTTTGGTTTTTAGCCTGTGATGCATGTTCTGATTTTTGTTGTCCATTAGTTATGAAAATTGTACAACAGAACTTCAGAGAAAGTGAGCAACTGAAGGCTTTTATGCATTTCCTTTTTTGAGTGATCGCTAGCAGGGTTTTTTTGAAGGCAACCTTGTATGTCTATGGCAACAGTAGTCTGATTTGTTTAATATATTAGTTTAAGTAGTAGAGAAAATAAGTATTTAGTATCTTTTGGATGTAGAGAAAAGACTTACGTGAGAAAGTTCCAGATGACTGAATCTGTGTCGTCTTCGTAAGTACAAAAATGTTTGGTTTTAGTGATGTCTTCAAAATTTCACATTAAATGTGCAGCTCAAGTACGTAAAATCTTTACTGATGTACTGACACTTTATTTAGTCCTCAACTATAGCAGACTTTACTTTTTTATTAATTTATTTATATTTATTTTAGTAACTTGGAATTGAGCATTCCCCTTGTAAAGGAAGATGGTCACTAAAAAAGTCTTCAGTAAGTAATCTGCTATTTATTCTTGTCCTTTGGTTCTTATAGATACAAAGAAACCCTCAAAAATTTGTTTGCAAAACGTGAGGAAATCAGAAAAGAATATCTCAAGTTGGAAATGCAACTGAAAGAAAACGCACTGAAGACACATTACCAGAAACAATGTCATGAACAAATTCTACTGATGTGCTCTGAAGAAAGAGTAGAAAAGGTGAGTTTTCTATAATGTAATAGAAGGTATCATGTCTCTTCATTTTGCTATGCTAATGTATGAATTTTGCATAAGTAATTCTGTAATTAGTTAATGCTTAAATATTTAATGAAAATGGGACACACTGATTATGACTCAAATCACATTTTCTGACAGTGAAGCAAAAACGCAGCAGTAATGCCACGTGTGCTATTTTTTTCCAGGCTGCATGGAAGACTGTTGATGTACTTCTTGCTGCTAATTGTGAAAACTATTCTGCTTGTCCTTGTGTAGGCTTGATTGTCACAGTTAAGACCTGAGTAGACTTAGTAGACTCATAGTGCTCTTGCCCAAAACCAAAGCATGTTGATGTATGTATGGTACAGCTGTTGGGACTGTTGCCAAGCTGAGTAATCCATTTGTGTTTTAAATGGAAAAGCATGGACCTTGTGCTAAACAAGAGATTCTTGTTTTCCATTGTCACCAAGATGATGTTTGGATAGCTGCTTAAGGATACTCATATGACTAAATTTACATTTAGTTGTCATGAATTTGAAGAGGAGAATTTGGGGGCTACAGATGAACAATTGCTGTTGTGCAACACTAAATGCTCATATCTTTCTAGAAGAATCAGAGTAGAAATAAGTAAGCATGGTTAGATAATATCTTAATTTTTCTGATACAAGTAAGTTTAAGGGAATATATGTTTTAGGTAAATATGAAGTTGAGGATGGGGCTGATTTTGCTTAGTCACAGTAACAATCTGTATTTGGCCAAAAATTATACTTTACCATATGACTCTTTTTTTCCAAATGATTCACATGAAATTTGGTCCTTAGATAAATGTCAAAGTGAAAATATATCACAGGTTCCTGCTTGTCATTAATGGAGATATTTCAAGTGACTAATGTGTTCTAGTATTGTCTTTTATGCCATAGAAACTTCGAAGTAATATTTTGTATCTATGCCATACTTTTAAATGCTGCACAGAGCATAGCTGTAACTGTATTCATAATGAGGAGTTACACCTTCATACACTCTATTTCATACGAATGTTCTTTGATCTGATTTAACTTTTTTTAAATGTTAGCAGTGCTGCAATCAAATGCACGTGCTTTACTAAGGGTCAAGAGTAACCATCCTATAAGTATGATGCCTTATTTGTTAACAAGAGTAAGTTACTGTAATGGTAAAACTAAATGCCCTTCTGCAACTACTTTGGAACAAATTGGGTTTTAATTTGGAATCCAGTCATCTGATTACCAAAGTGACTGCTCAAGTTTCCCTTGTGCGTGATAATGCTTCTGTTCTTCCTTGTATTTTTATAGATGTGCTATTTTCCTAAATGACTCTGGGTTTTCTCTCTGTAAAATACACTGTTAAGTCACAGGGGTATTTCTGAAATACTAATTTTTAAGGGCAAAGTTTTACTTAAAAAGTATTTTCTCATTTTACACTTAACTGTCTGTGCTTAGTAACTAGATACAATAATGATTTTTAGGTAAGGTAACACGAAGCAGATGATATCTTATCTATACTTGAACAATTCCAGTTTGAACACTTTAATTCAAAAGAATAGTTTCAGAAAGAAGGAAAAAGCTTACGTATAAGTTTAGGTTATCTTAATCTCTGTTCTTACAAATGCTTTCTTGTTGCAAAACGTTGTTACAATATACTTGTGAGATTCAATCCATCCT